GGAGGGGCTGTGCCCTCCCTCCCTATGCCCCTCACTTCTGACCTGCAGCTCCCTGCCGCCCCAGCCCTGCTGCTGACCCTCACTCCTGGCCCCCAGCCCCCTAGCCTTGCCAGAGCCCCTCACTCCCAACCCACAACACCCTGCTGCCCTAACATTGACCCCCAGTTTCTATGCCCTGCCCCCTGCCGAGACTCCAGGGTCCCCAACCACCCCAGCCCAGTCAGCACTGGTCCCAGCAGCACCCTCCTCCCCCAATAACATTCTCCCCTCCACCAATGCCAGCCCTAAAACTGAGGCTGGTCTCAGCATTGATCAGGGCCATGATTATGGGGAGGGAGTTGGGTCTGTGGGGGTCAATTTGGTAGTGCTGGGAGCCTGGACACTTGGGTTTTCTCCCAGCCCACCCCCTGCCCAAGCTGGGGCAGGAACCTCGTGCCTGGGGCCTTGCCCAACTGAGCAAACAGCCCCTGAATGGAGCCATTCATGCCCCAGGTGGGGAGGGGAGGGGGCTATTTGTAGAGGGGGGGTTGATTGCACTGACTTATCTGGCAGGACCCCCCCCCCCCCATCTGCTCCTACCTGCTCAGGGGAGGGGTAGGGACCAGTCCCCCTGGTTCCCATAGTGTGATGCCCTGGCCCTGTGTACTCCTGGTGGGGGGTCCCAGCCTCCCTCATGCCCTTACCCCATTGATGTCTTGGACTCTGGGTGTGGGTCTGGGCTGGGGGGCAGGGGGCTGTAGGCTGGGAGTCAGGGACACTGGCGGGGGTGGGCAGGGCCTGCAGGTCAGGAGTGAGGAGCACCAGCAGGGCTGCGGAGGGTGGTCAGCCAACACCCCAGGAGGTCAGTGTCCCCTTCCCAAAGCTGGCAGAGAACCCAGGTGTCCCAGGTCCCAAATTTAATCCCAGCCCCCACTCCCCTTCAAATACTAGGAGGGAACCCAGGCCTCCTGCTTACCCCCCCCTCAGGACCTCAGGCGTGCCAGGGCCAGAAGGGCTCTCAGGGCCCCCCCCCCCCACACCTACACCAAGGGCTCTCCAGTCAAGTGGGCACCGTAAGGGCTCAGGAATGTGCCCGTGCTTCCCCCTCTCCGGTGACTGTGGGTTGGGAGCAAGGGGCACCAACAGGGATGGGGGTGCAGGGGCTGAAGGTAGGGAATGAGGGGCTCCAGCAGAGCTGGGGGGGGCCGGGGCTGAAGGTAGGGAGTGAGGGGCACTGGTTGGTCTGGGAGGGAACAGACTTGAGAGGCACCCGCAGGGCTGGTGGCAAAAGGCTGGGGCAGGTGGGGGGGGCTGTGGGTCCAGAGTGACGGGCAGCAACCAGGTTGGGGGCTCTGGGTTGGGAGTGAGGGGCACTGGTGGGACTGGGGGGAGGGCACACCCAAGCGCCCCAGCCCCCTTCCTTGGGAATGCCCGTTGGAGGAGCAATTCCCCCTCCCCCACCAGGCAATGCTCCTTGGGGACCCCATGGCCTCCCCTTAGATCCCAATGGGGAAGGTTCTGAGGACATCTGGGGTCACTGTTGGGGGGCAGGCCTGCCAGGAGCTGGGTACAGCAAGGCAGGGGAATTGCCCCCAGCTAGGACAATTAGCTGCAGCTGGGGCTAATTCAGGCACAGCCCCCTGCAGTCTCAGCAGTTACCCCAAGCTATGTTCCCCTGAGGTACGAGTCCTCTGCCCCTACCCCAGATTTGAGGGAGGTTCATTACTCACTCTGGGACAACTGTGTGGTGAATCTCCCCCCTAACAGGGGCAGCGTTGGGGATATCTGACCCCCTAGGCTGGGCTATGGGCCCTGCCTGCTGCCCCCCCCCCAGGCTATACAAGCCAAGGGAAACTGAGGCAGTGGCTTTGTGGTGCAGAACTTGTGTGTCCTGTGGCCCCTGCCAGTGCCAGAGGCTGCCCCCCTGAACCCAGATGCCTGTCCCCTTGACCCCAGACACATCCTCCTGCCAACCAGGCCAGGATTGGGCCCCAAGGTGCCAGGCACTGTATGTCTGCGGGAGGGTAAACCAAGGCGGGGGGGCGGGGTGGATTGCAAAGAACAGGGGAGAACCCAGGCATCCAGGTTCCCAGCACTCCCCTGCTCTACCCCCCAGCCCCCTCCTCCCCTCCAAATGAGGAGGGAACCCAGGCGTCCGGGCTCCCACCACGGTCACACTGGGATGGGTGATGGATGGGGCCGTTAGGCCTGGGCAGGGGGTTCCAGACCCCCGCAGTGGGGGGCGGGGGGAGGGGCAGGGCAGGGGAGGCAGGTGTATGCACATGTGCATATCATTTGCATATGCATGAGTATGCCCCACTGCAGCCCATTTCCCTCAGTGCCCCTGAAGCTGTCCCCACACCTCCCAGTCCCCCTAGGGACCCTGAGTCCCCCCAGTCCATTAACCCCTCCCAGGCTACCTCCAGGCAGGGTCCCCATCCTCCGGGTGCAGTAGGGGGGGACAAGGGGTAATGGGTTCTGCGCGGGAGGGAATTCATTTCCCGGCGCTAATGCGCTGTCAGCGCAGGGCCAGGCACCGTGGATGATGGAGAGTCGCCCCCGGCGCCGCGGACGGCTTAATGGGGCGGAGAATGAGCTGCTCCCCTCCTCAGCTGCGGCACTGGCCCCCACCCTACCCCACAGCCCCTGGGGAGGCAGCTGGGGGTGCTGGTCCCCCTAGCCCAGGCCCCACTTGGTGGGGGTGCCCCACGGCACTGGGGTAGGCCCAGGGGTCTGTGCAGAGCCTGGAGCCCCTGATATCAGCCTGGGAGGGGGTTCTGCCCTGAGCCCGCAGCCCCCATTTGCAGCTGGGGGGGTCTGTGCAGGGCCTGGAGCCCCCTGATATCAATCGGGGCGGGGGCCTCTGTGCAGGGCTTAAAGCCCCCTGTTGCAGCCAGAGGGGTTTATGCAGAGCCTGGTTCCCCCAGATATCAGCCGGGGGGGGGCGGTCTGTACAAGGGCCTGAGCCCCGAACTGCAGCAAGAGGGGTTTATACAGAGCCTGGAGCCCCCTGATATCAGTCTAGGGGTCTGTGTGGAGCCCAGAGCTCCAGATCGCAACCTGGGGGTCTGTACAGGGCCTGGAGCCCCCGATTGTGGCCTGAGGGAGGGTCTGTACAGGGCCTGGAGCCTCCTGATATCAGCCAGGGGTTCTGGACAGAGCCTGGAGCCCCCGTTCACAGCCTGGGGGGTCTGTACTCAGCCTGGAGCCCCCTGGTGTCAGCCTGGGGGTCCATACAGGGCCCAGCACAGCCTGACTGTAGCCTGGGGGTTTGTACAGCACCTAGTACAGCCCGATGGTGGCCTGTGCAGCACCCAGTGTCCCCCAATATCAGCTTAGCCGGTTTGTATTAGGGGGGACATGGGGGTTGCTGGTGGGTGTATCTATGTGCTGAGCTGGGCCATACACAGGGCTTTCTATAGGGGGGCTTCTCTATAGGAGAATTTATTCATCCATGTCTCTTCCAAATCACAGCTGGAGGAGCTGCTCTATCAAGGGCCCCCTGGCTATAGGGGTCTCCATGGATGGCTTCCTCTGGGGAATTGTTGATTTATAGGGGACCCCCTGGTTATGAGGGTCTCCATAGGCAGCCATCTCTGGTGGGGGTTGATCTATAGGGGATCCCTTGGCTATCGCAGTCTCCATAGGGATTTACCTATAGGGGATCCCATGGCTATTGGTATCTCCATAGGCTACTGTCTTGGGGGACTGATCTATAGGAGATCCCTCAGCTATAGAGGTTTCCATAGATGTTCCTCTCTAGAGGGGTTGCTCTATAGAAAATACCCAGCTATAGGGGCCCCTATAGGAAACTGTCTCTATAGGGGATGGGGGGGTTGTTCCATGCCTTGAGCCCCTTGTGTGTTGTGTGCCCAGATCCCCTTGCGTGTTGCCTGTCACGTGTTGCATGTTGTGGGGGCAGTGTGTTCTGTGGCCCCATCCCCTGAATAAGTCACCTATTGCCCCCCGCCCCCTTCCCTAGCCAATCCCTAGCCGGGGGAGGGGCAGGGGTCGGGATGCCTGGGTTCTCTCCCGGCTCTCCCAGGGCAGGGGGACATAGTGGTTACAGGTGGGGGCGGGGCTGGGAGCCAGGACACCTGGGTCCTCTTGGGAGAGGGCAGCAGGGCTCCATCCCCCCCCCCCACACACACACAGCCACATGGCTCTATAGGGGCTTCCCCACAGGGTCCTATGCGTTGTGGGCAGGGGGCCTAGTGGTTAGACACAGAGGAGCCCGGATGTCCCCTGGCTGCTTGGGGCGGGGAGGGGGCAGCACATGGCAGGGCTGGGGGAGCGCCTCCTTGGCGGCAGTAAGGGTCGTTATCGCCTCCCACAGGTGGGGGGGGACGGGGGGAGACAAGCTGTCCCGGCCCAGACGTGGCCCTGGGGACCTTTGCTCTTCCCCAACCGCTGAGTCAGCATCCGGCGCGAGGGGGGTGGGACACACACACGACTCAGCACTGCCCCCCTCGGCGCCACCTCCCCCCGGCTGTACCTCCACCGTGCCTCAGTTTCCCGTGCTGCGGGGCAGGGGCAGGACAAGTGCTCGGTTGCCCCCTGCAGCCGGGGAGGGACGCAGCAGGGTGGACGGAGCGGGACGAGGGAGCGGCGTGACGCCCCGGTGCTGGGCCGGGCAGCCCGACGCCGGCTCTGTCCCGGGAGGGGAGCGGGATTAGAGCAGACCCCGCTCGGCTCTGGACAGACCGGGGGGGCGGGGGGGCGCAACTGGGAGCACTGAGTATGGGGCAGGTCTGGAAATGGGACTGAGATGAGATCTGCGTCCCCCCCCCGCGGTGCTGCAGACACGCAGCCCCCCACGTGTACACGCGTGTCTCCTTGGGGTGCACCTGCGCCGGGGGCGCTGCTTCCCCGGGGGTCCGAGCCGCGCAGGGACCCACCCGCGCCCCTTCCCGTTTAACTCTTGGCGCGCTCAGCCGTGACCCCCCGCCCCCCCCGGGC